GCGGCCCCCGTCCGCACACAGGGTGCCCCCACGGCAGCAGAGTCACCAGCTCCAGCCCCGGGCTCTGCCCACACCGGTTCACCCAGCCCAGTTTCCCCAGGGTTTCAACCTGTGCCCAAACACTGTACTATGAAACGAGGCTGATCTAAAGGGCAGCGGCGCTCATTGCTACCGGTGTTTAAAAAACGTATCAGGTTTGCGCAGCGTTGGTGCAGAGCAGCTATAAAGAGATCACCCGCTAGAGCCTTCGGTCTAGGCAAGCCCGGCGGGAGGGACAGCAGCGGCGATGCTGATCCGCTTTGGACCCCACGGCTCAGATTTAGAGCCTACCCTGGCTCACTGCCGGCCCCAGCAAAGCCGATTCGGAGGAGACGGAAACGTCCCGCACCGTGGCACCAGCCGCGGCCGGCGAGGCACGGACCCAGGCGCGCGCGTGCGCATCTCCTCACCTGACGTGAAGGACCCGTCGGGGATGTAGAAGGCCCCCACCGTGATCCCGATCAGGACCAGGAACTTGAAGAACCAGAACCTGCGGGCACGAGCGAGAGGTAAGAGGAGGCACGGGGACGCAGCGCCCTCCCGCGCCGCGCCGGCCCCACGGCACCGGCCCCTGCCTGGCTCAGCCTATTTACAGCACAGGGAATAAGTGGGCTTTTTTTTTAACGGGGCACAGCTAAAATAAATCAGGCTTCTCCCTAGACAGGGAACAAGTCGCCCTTAAGAACCCAAACCCATTTCCGCGGCTGGACTGCTCGGGAATGGGCTCGCAAGCGGGAACGTCCACACACAGGAGCAAACCAAAATCTGCTGTTAAATAGCAAGGCAAGGGAGAGCTGCCTCTTTCTTACGCCTAACTCGGAGAAAATGCACTAAGGAGCCGCTCAGCTTTTTGTGCAAGAGGCACAGGTCACCCTTTAAAGCGCCTAAAACGAGTGGCAGGAGGGTGCTGCCCAGCAGCCACCCCAAATTTGCTGGCAGAGCCTGCAGCCAGCCAGACGCTGCGACGGACGGGCCGGAAAAAGGGAAACCGGAGCTGTCCGAGGAGCAGTTCAGACTGACCTGCCTTCCCCATGCACGGATCGGGGACAGAATGGGCAAAAAGGGGCACAGACTTCCCATAACCCTCTCCAGCCCAAGGAGCCGGGGCATCGGCCCAGCGGGGCGGCGAGCTCACCCGTTCTGCACCGCCGCTCGCGGGTCCTTGCTGCTCCTCACGCACAGCATGATCACGGCGAAGAGGAAGAAGAAGGCGGCCATGGCGAAGCCCATGCGGTACACGGCCTTGTGCCCCAGGAAACTGCGGCAGTCGACGTGGCTTTGGGCTCCCAGGAGCGAAGCGCTGCCCTCGGCGAAGCCGGGGCAGCG